TCTAGTTTCCTTGCAAATCGGAGTATAAAGGTCATCGTAAACGGTGCATGCTTCGATTACGAGCCTATCAATGCTGGTGTCTCACAAGGCTGCCTGTACGCCTACGCTGTTCCTTGTGCATATAAATTAGATGCATTCATTGTTATGTGGATGACAGAGCTCTCAGGTGATGCTTTATGCACCGGCCGTGCCAATATTTCTCGGGATCACGTTATCGAGTACCGGAACAAACTTGTCTCTTAAGTCGAGTCGTTGTTAAACAAAGTCTGGGCTTGGGAACGATTAAATATAGGCCATTTTATCCCTTGAAGATACAGGTTTGCGCGACCGCTTTGTCGTATCTCTTGTATTTCAGGGCACCTCCCTTGCATCATCTAGCATCGGAATCCTTGACATATTTCGGCATATGCCGAAATTTTACCGAATACGACCCCCCGGTGGTCATCATCATCATCGTATAAGCAGGGTCTCGGGATCTCAATTCGTAATGCAACCATAGCTCCTCTCTGTGATGTGAGGACCGTCAAGAACGACATGACGACGTTGTCTTCGAGCGGGATCTCTCGTTTATCTACCCTGATCAGCAGTCTTCTTTATTTTTTTAATCTTTATTATACACCTTGTATACTAAGGGATATAAAGGGCGGACTTAATGCTAAGGCATTGTGTCCTGCTAAGGCATTGTGTTGGCCATAAGTGGCATTCTCTGCCAGTTAACCCTGAATAATTTGAGAAACTGTAGCAGGTGTAATTAATCACTCCATAAATAAATAATAAAGATATAAAACAAAATAAAATGCAAATGAATAGAATAGATATAGTTAGTAAAATATACATACTTACTTAATATATAATATAGGATAAATAATAAATATATAAACGAGTACTTCTATACAAAACTATAAGTAAATAAAGTATTATGAGACAAAAATAAAATAACACAATACATATTAAAATACATTATAAAAATATTACTTATAAAGTGAAAGAAAAAAAAGCAATAGTCGGACAGTCAGGTGGTATTATTCTTACGACGGAATTCTCGAACAAGCCTTTTAAAATTGTTATTAGTTTTCTTGATATAAACTGATAAGGCATTCCAGAGCAGTATAGACTGCACAGTAAAAGAGGAATTAGAGAAGCCACTCCTATGTGGTGGAATACGAATTTTAAGACAATTTTGGGAACGGGGTACTCTATCGTTCGTAGCATACAAATATTGAAAGTTATCCTTAAGATAAGAGGGAGAATTGGGGTCATTTAAAATTGAATGTAGTACTTGCAAAGTTCGGGAGCTACGCCTTTGACGTACAGAGAGCCATTTAAGCTTAGATCGGTACTGGGAAATATGGTCACACTTACGTAAGCCGAAAATGAATCTAATGCAATTGTTAAGAAGGCGCTCCAACTTATCGAGAAGATATTGTGATAGATCTGGGTAACACACATCCGCATAATCAATAATGGGTAATATCAAAGTCTGGATTAGCAGAAGTTTAGTTTTAAAAGGCAAAAAGTTTTTGAGACGACAAAGAGAATGTGAGGTGGCAGTTACTTTACGGCTTGTTTCGACAACTTGAACTCCCCAGCTTAAGTTATGGTCTATATGTATGCCAAGATTTTTGGCAGACTTACAAAATTGCAGCAACGTTCTATTGTAAAATACGGGAGCAAGATTGTCGTTATTAATCTTAGCTAACATTCTGCTACTACCTATAAGCATTGCTTTGCATTTGGTTGGGTTAACCAAAACACCATGTCTGTACGACCAATCTCTTATGGCATCGAGGTTGTGGTTGAGTTTATGAATATTATCGTTATGGTCGTTAACACTAGATTGCACATAGAGCTGAAGATCATCTGCATACAGATGGTACGAACAGTTGAGAACTGAAGTGATAGAATTTATGAATAAAGAAAACATTATAGGAGAAAGTATTCCGCCTTGCGGCACGTCTGTTTCAATGTCAGCCCATCTTGAGAACTCTTGTTGAAACCATTCCAAAGCTGGGATTGAGAATCTAAGATTAGTTAGGAAGGCTATAAGGATATCGTGGTCGACTGTGTTAAAAGCACTACCTATTTGAAAAGTCAACAAGCACTACCACTGTAAGCTTTTGCTCATCCATTCCCATTCTAATATCGTCTTTGACTTTTATTAATGTAGTGGTAGTACTGTGAGTTGCACGAAAGCCTGACGGATATTTATTCAGCAGATTGTGTTTGCTTATGAACAAAGAGATTTGCTTGTGAACACAGGCTTCCAGAACTTTAGATAGGTATGGCAATATTGAAATTGGTCTAAAATGGGTAGGTAATGAGGGATTAGGTATTTTAAGAAGTGGTCGCACAAATGCTTTTTTCCACTGAGTAGGATATTGACCATGCTTTTTTCCACTGAGTAGGATATTGACCTGAGTCAAGGGAATAGTTTATGATATGTGTGATTGCAGGCAAAAGGCACTCAAGGATCATGGATACCATAACCTTACTAACGTCATCGCAACCCACAGCCTTGGATTTAATAGCTAGTACAGATTTCTGTACCTCATCATCAGTCACAGGTAAGAATTGAAATAAGGAATAGGAGGAGATGGCATGGATTGAATGGAAGCTATTGTCGTAGAATGAACTGTGGGATCCAAAGGAGAAGTAGAAGTAAAGTGATGATTGATGGACCACGGTCAGATGTAACGGCCTTACTAATACCTAGTGTTTTAGGAAATTTCTTTTGATCTTCACAGAAGACAGTTACAGCTCTCCACGCCAAATCTCCGCTCAAATTGCCGATACGACTGTAGCCTGGCTAGGAAAATGATCAGACTGAAACTGGCTAACCAGGATCGCATTCCCTCGCTGTACATATAGGATTCGGAGTCCAAGTCCTGTCCGCCCTAATGGAATCAATTTACCGTTGTATTGCGCTCGATCTCACACAAAGAATTACCGATGTCCCCTTTTCCGGGTTTAGCTGTATAAGTCTCTACGTGAGTCTGCCTACCCATCGCTGTAGCAAGTTTTCGAGCAACAGCAACAACAACGCGTTTTCGTGCATAACGCTTCTTGCAAAAATGAAGAAAGGACCAAGGACACCAGCATTTATTTTTTAAACAATTTTTCCAGTCCTAAAAAGAGAAAGAAAACGGCGGACGATACAGGTGATATCTAGGAGCACCGCCTTTGGCGTTTAAGTTTAAATCGGTCAGTCACAGAGTCCCAGTTGCCTCATATAACCCGAAAGGTTGAGGGAAATTACGCTGCTTGCAGAAACGGAATGATAGCGTTGAACAAAAATACACAATATCATGCTCATTTTAATAATTCAAATTAAGTGGTAAAATGCCATCACATTCACAGCACTAAAGTTGTGTGTATGGAATGCTAATGGCTTGTCAAACCACTCTGAAGAGTTAAAAATATTCGTTAAAATGCACCGCATAGATGTTTTACTAATCTCAGAAACCCACTTCATATCCAAAAACCACTTTAGCCTACCGGGATACAACATGTACCATACTGACCACCCAGATAACAAAGCACATGGAGGATCGGCCTTTTTTATCAGGTCAAACATCAGGCATTTATGCACTACAACATCACTGTAAAAACTACATCTAGGCAACAAATGCCATAACAGACTGGATCAGTGACATTACAATATTGGCCCTCTATTGTCCACCTAGATTCACTATCAAGGAATCGGAGTTCAGTAACTTCTTTCAATCACTTGGAGGCAGGTTTATCGCAGGAGGTGATTATAAGCCAAGCATTCTTTTTGGGGTTCCAGGCTTGTTCTATCCAGAGAGCGAGAATTCCTTAAATGCATACAAAAAAGAAATATGAATGTTATATCGTCAGGTCAACCGGCCAAACTGGCCAACAGACAAAAGAAAAATCCCAGATGTTTTAGACTTTTTGTCAGCAAAGGAATCGCTAAGAACATCATATCGTGCCAGAGTTGCTGGGATTTATTTTCAGACCACTCTCCAATAATAGTAGAACTACATACCACTACCCAAGAATGCGTGTTCTGCATAACAATAAAACTAACTGGTCTCTATTTCGTGATCTCACAGACAAAGCATTCCAAGAATCAGTTAGCCTAAAATCGGAAGACGAAATAACGGGAGCGGTGCTATACTTTAACAAGAGTGTGTAAGATGCAGCTTGGTCATTGACCACACCACTACCATCTAGAAACCTGGAGACCCACGTACCGAAACAAATATTCGATAAAATAATCAAAAAAAAGGATACGGAAACGCTGGCAAATAACAAGAGACCCTGTGGCGAAAAAACAACTCAATCACGCCAACAGACAGCTAAAACACACCCTAGAGAAATATTGTAATGACGGATTTCATAATTACCTCACCGGCCTGGATGCTACTGCTTCCTGGGACTACTCTTTATGGAAAGCCACCAGAAGACTAAAACGGCCTGTCAACGTCTCTCCTCCTATAAGAAAACCAGATGGTACCGGGGCGCGGACAGACCAGGAGAACGCCAGAACCTTCTTAGAACACCTCTCCACTCATGTGACGGCTCACCAGAAGGTGCAGCAGAAATTACTAACCACTTAAATAACCCAGAAGATACGCAGGAAATGCCTCTTAAATTTACAAAAACAGAAGTTGCTCGAATAATAATTAGAAAATCAAACCCAAAAAAAGGCTCCAGGATACCACCTCATTACAAACCGTATATTACAAGAACTACCTGATTCTCGATAACTTTCCTTACGTCACTATTTAATGCCATGACCAGACTGCAGTTTTTTCACCTGGAGTGGAAGGTCGCACAAATTGTAATGCTCCTAAAACCAGAGAAACAACCTGAAGAAACAAAATCGTCCCATCCTATCCAAAATATATGAATCCCTAGTGCTACAACGAATCTTGCCTATACTCAAAGAGAAGGAGCTAATCCCTGACCCTCGGTTTGGATTCCACTGTAAGCATGCCACTATCGACCAAGTGCACAGGCTAACAAAATACATCATGGAGTCACTGGAAGGTAAATCTTACTGCGCCAGTGCGTTCCTGGACGTATCTCAAGCGTTTGACCGCGTGTGGCATGAGGGATTGTTATTCAAGTTGAAAAATGCACTAGTAGATCACTTTTACGGGATATTAAAATCATTCCACCAGCAGCGCCATTTCATAGTACAACAAGGGGAAGCCCTGTCAGATCTCTGCCCTACTAAAGCTGGAGTCCCGCAGGGCAGCGTACTGGGTCCCATACTTTACTTACTTTTCACTGCGGACCTGCCGACATCTGAATCCTTAATCACTGGAACCTTTGCTGATGACACTGCTATACTGGCTACTCTTAGCGACCCAAAAATGGCCTCACAAATACTTCAAAAGGGGCTAAATGACATATCCCACTGGCTCAAAAAGTGGCGAATAAAAGCAAATGAAATAAAATCAGTCAATGTAAAATTCAACCTAAGAAGGGGCTCTTGCCCCCCCCCCCCAGTCACACTTAACAACATTGTAGTTCCTCAGGCAGATCATGTGAGATACCTTGGATTGTACTTGGACAAAAGTCTTACCGGGCAAAAACATATTTTAACTAAGAGAAAGCAACTCGGTATTCAAACGCTTGCGGGAAAACTCTACTGGCTCATAGGGCGAAAGTCTCAATTGTCTCTAGAAAACAAAATACTTCTGTACAAGGAAATACTGAAACCTATCTGGACGTGTGGAATCCAACTGTGGGGTACTGGATCCCATTCAAACATCGAAATCTTACAAAGGTTTCAAAATAAAGCACTCCGCATGATAACCAATGCCCCCTGGTATGTGCCCAACGAATTACTTCATCATGATCTATGCCTGCCTATTGTGAAACAGGAAATCATACGCCATACTAGAACTTATAAAGAGCGCATCGAACGTCATCCAAATACTCTGGCCCGGCCACTCATGGCAAACCACAACAAAGCGCGACGCTTAAAGCGCAAGATACCCCAAGATTTAATACAAACACAAACACAGTAAACGCAGTTACTGTTTAATAATGAGGATGTGACACAGGTCACATACCGAGCACGCCAGCGACAGCACCAACAAACATACTGCTGAATGTCCCTCAAAGGCGACAGATTGTTGTAAATAAAGGAAACAAAAAAAAATTAAGTGGTGATGTTACAATTTAGGTAATAGTTCTTTTTTGCGATTGCCACGCCCTAGAAAACTACTGGGCCAAAGTAGTTGATGACCATCAAAAGAATTGGAACCAGTATATTCTTCTGTTTTTGTTTTTTCATCGGTCTGCTATACACGACAGCATAATTAGCCGAATAGTATCTCGAAAGCCAAGTTGAACTGAAATAACCCCCTATAACGGGTTCTTCACTAAATAGTCTAAAGCTTGTGACTGTGTATGTGGACCTCGTAACTAACTGAACGAAGTGCACGGGAGCTCGAGAGAATAATCTTAAGACTATTGACGGAATGAAAACTCGTTACGAGCGCAGAGCAAACATATGCATACATAGGTTACATAATCCTGTCAGGAAAATGGAGAGAAGCCGAGATTGCAAGTTAATAAGGACCTTATAAGGTGGTTAAGAATTAAGAAATTTGGCGGCTGGGATTAATCCGAATAATTCTTCAGAGCACTCTCCATGGTATATGCGAAATAAAATGCAAAGAGATGCAACATCTCTTCGCAGTGCCAGTGAATCCACTTACCATCTGGTGTGCTGTGTGCTCGTTTGTCACTCATATTTTATTAAAAAATATATCGCACCCAGAAAGAAATAAGCATTAAGATAAGATTAAGAATCAAAATGCAGATGAGTTGCCACCCCTGAGGACTAATATGAAATGCCTCGTTTCCAGTAAAAATGGTCTCCGGTTCTTTACACTCACCGTACGAAACACAGCAGCATTTAACTGGTATTTTACGCTGATATTCTGTGAGTGCGAGGTCCTTCCCTGGTCGAGCCGAAATGTGACATCATTAATCTTCTTAACCACCTTATAAGGTCCTTATTAACTTGCAATCTCGGCTTCTCTCCATTTTCCTGATAGGATTATGTAACCTATGTATGCATATGTTTGCTCTGCGCTCGTAACGAGTTTTCATTCTGTCGATAGTCTTAAGATTATTCTCTCGAGCTCCCGTGCACTTCGTTCAGTTAGTTACGAGGTCCACATACGCAGTCACAAGCTTTAGACTATTTAGTGAAGAACCCGTTATAGCGGCTATGGGGGGTGTTATTTCTAGTTCAATATTTATCTTGGCTTTCGAGATACTATTCGGCTAATTATGCTGTCGTGTATAGCAGACCGATGAGACAACAGAAACAGAAGAATATACTGGTTCCAATTCTTTTGATGGTCATCAACTACTTTGGCCAAGTTGTTTTCTAGGGCGTGGCAATCGCAAAAAAGAACTATTACCTAAATTGTAACATCACACAATTCAGACAACAACACAACGTCAGATTTAGTAATAATACAAATAAAACTGCACTCTTAAAAGTCTTATTGCCTTAAGTTACGGTCAATTTCAGTTTGTTTTGACTGTACAGATTTAGTGTGACTGTAATTTACGTAGTTGTAATTATTTTTGGGATAAAAAAATTACCTTTATTAAAAATGATAGGAATCGATTCAGTAAACAATTCTGAACGAACTTCTTTCTCAAAGTGCGTTAATTATGTTACGTGTTATATATATATATATATATATATATATATATATATATATATATATATATATATATATATATATATATATAGCGGTTGTAGGTAAATATTTCACGCAGATAGCAACAGTGAAAGGGCTGGCCTGTTAAGGTATCTGTTGATACCTTTTATATTGTCATGTGTATAAATAAATAATAATAATTATTACTTATTATCACATATACTGTCACAAAATTATAATACCCCTCAGCCCTCAAGCGGTGGAATTCAACCGCCGCGCTATTCCGTCAAAATTTAAACGGTCGAATTCGACCGCCAAACTGCCAAACTTGTTCATAGAAAAGTAGTCTCTAAATACAACTTTTAATGGTTTAAGTGCTGCGGGTGGCTGCGGTTGCATGCGACCGCTCGGGATTTGCCGGGCGCATGTGAATGCATCGGATTTTTATAGGGATCGAAGGGTTAAAAATATAAATACAATTTATATAAATAATATTATTATTTTGGCTATTATCCACCGCGGCGAGTTTTCTTAAGCCAACGGTGAAGTTAGACATCCAGAGATAGCAACCTAATATAATAACCTTCTTACTATCCGAGTCATGTTTAGTAAGGCCGATTTTTGAATAGATCCTTTCAGCCATTTGCTCAAGCTTAACTTGAACAGATAAATCCATCTATATTATTACTGGTAAGCCCAATGACTGATACACATAGCGACAATTTGATGTGCCAAGTCGATATATTTTATCATTTTCTGCTCTCACGAGATTCTTGTCATGAAGAACAATGATATTCACTATTATTTCCTTGCGTTTAGTGCATTTTACCACCACAATGTCAGGGTTATTTGCTACCATTCCTGTGATAATTGACCGTTCCAAGCATCTATCAACAATTGTTGATCGAAGGCTCCAAGTACAGAGTGACACTTCGTTTTCCAATGATTATTTTTTTTTTTGCTTCTTACTTATAATATAGAACATCCTGTTAAGTAAAAGCAAAAACTAAAAATTTTATGGCAAGCTGCTGGTGCATGCTTGCTCCATCTTGGCTACTTGGTTATGTCTATGCAAACACTCGCCATTCGATAGTTGTGGACAACTGTAAATAACATTTCTGAGGGATTCTCTAGAGCGGTGGACATGCACCACAACCGTACCGTCCTTTAAAATGTACTTTCGAATGTTGCAAGGAAGACGTCACCTTATATCTGTGGGCATAAACTCCTTTTTCATTTGAACATTATGTTCACTATGCTATTATGCTAGCACATAGCATTTTCGCACCGAAAGAGGGGAATATTGGAACGAACCGAACCGACCGAGAATGTTCTATAATTCACTCATGGGGTATAAAAGCGTGAGTTAAAAATACTTATCATGTAGATATATGCTTTGTCAGCCAAAAGTAAAGCACAGCAACAAGTTAAAAGGGTAGACTCAGCATTAACATTACACGTGTATGAAATATTACAAAATATAATGAAATGTTCTAGAATAAGCTATGCTGACATTCATGAGAATAAGTTATACGGCACCCTTTCTTTTCTGCTGTTTCCAACTAACTTTAAAAATTATATTGAATATTGTGAAATACGTAATAGGATTCTCTGGATAAAAGTATGCTGACATTCATGAGATTAAGTTTGTTCCCATTGTTACAAATATATGTAAATCTAAATCCATTTTTACTGTCATTCCGTTTTCAGACTTCGCTCGTTAAGCACTGTAACTCTGTTTTATTCAATAAAAATATAATTTTTATCGAATCGTGTATCAAATATCAATTGACTGGCGCTGCCGGTAAGTGACCTTGTCGTTTGGGTCCTTATGCCATCGTTATAATATGCCATGCTAAGATGCAGTGGCGAGGTTATCTAAGCAAAACATCTACACAAATCTTTTATTAAATGTTTTCTTATTTAATTTGCCAAAATATTTCATTAGGTCGGTGCAATTGAAAAATGTTTCGACACTGGAAGATGAAAGAAGCTGGTTTAGAGGAACAATATTTCCCAGAAGTTTATGACCAGAAACAACACTGAAACCCAAAATTTAATCGATATTTCCATTCTAATACATAATTTAATTCACAAGGGTCGCAGGCGTAAGCACTATATCATCAACAACGTTCTGATAATTACTACTTTCGATCGTAATTCAACGAATAACGTAGTGCAAACGCAAAAATAGAAATAACGTTTGCAATAATAATTTTTCAAAGAGTTCATTTCCATTAAAAACAATAACAGATATCGGAATAATCCTTTCCATCGAAACAACCCGTTAGATAACAATTATAATTCACCGGAACATACGAGACCACGGTTTACACGTCGACAATCTGCTGACAATACACAACGCGATTCCCAGCAAGCGCAGTCGGACCCGACGTCACCGTCCGGATCAAGTTGCGATACTAACGTGACCATGAGAACGGCTAGTTCAAGGCGTGTAAATTACACTGATTATAATGATAACGAAAATAATGTGTTTGCAAGTACTTCTAATAAGAAAGAACAAGTAGAAAATGTTTGCATAAAGGCCTCTATACACCAGAGCAAATAAAATTAAATTGTAGTAAATTAAATCTTGCGCACATACGTATACCAGAACTTAAAGTTATTTTTATCGTTGATACCAGAAGTCAACGTTTGTTTTTAAGCCCAAAGCGAAACAATATTTTTGCCACTTTAAGCAAAACGAAGTCTATGAAGTAGTTAGTACCCATGCCAGTAGTAAACATAATGAAGTTGTGTACCTCTTTATGTTTACCTAGGACATTTAAAAGTAAATTTTGGCATAAATTTTATATTTATTGTGTAGATGACAGATATGATGGTTTAATTGGCAGCGATTTATGACGCAATTTCATGTCAATATCGACATGAAAAATAGAAAGTTATTTACTAAGGACATTTGTATACCTGAATATTTTTTATAACCCACCAATGTCTGAATCTTGTGAGTCAAACTTTCAGTTAATTTATTATACGGTGAAGACATATTAAACTTTACAGAATTTACCGATGGGGTTAGAATGCCGACGGCTTTAGTAAACTGTGTACAAATGGTTATTCGACAACAGTTATTCAAAGTTCTAGATCCCAGATTATGGAATTAACGGTGACCAGTCCGTTCAAGGATAGTTATAGGTCACATCAGCTTTTAACGGATAATCTCTGTCAGTAAGAATTGATCATATGAACAAGGAGGAAAAACAATCAATAATTAATATTTGCAAAGAATATAAAGATAACTTTAATCGTGAAGACGTGTCTCTTTCATTCACTAATGAAGTAAAGAATAAAATAAGAACAGAAAACTAAGACCATGTTAA